AAGCAGCCTGGATTTCCAGAGGCGACAATTTGGACGATGACGAGATACCAACAAGCTGTACAGGTTTACCTATGAGAGATCAGCGTACAGGGACAAACTGATTCTAACAGGATCTGTGCAGAGAGGACCACCTGGGCTGGGGGATCCCAAGATGTCATCCACAGTGTACCCTGCCCATCCCCGTGGGTGTTTCCATGAGGAGGCTCTAAACAGCCCTCACAGTTAGGACCTCATGAGAACAAGGGTCCTTGAGAATCTGCTACTTCGGTTGGGCACGGCGGCTCATGCCTGTAATCCTAGCACTTTGGGAGGCCGAAGCAGGCAGATCACAAGGTCAAGAGATGGAGACCATCCTGGCCAACATGGTGAAACCCCGTCTCTGCTAAAAATAGAAAAGTTAGCTGGGCATGGTGGTGTGTGCCTGTAATCCCATCTACTCAGGAGGCTGAGGCAGGAGAATTGCTTGAACCCAGGAGGCGGAGACTGCAGTGAGCCGAGATTGTGCCACTGCACTCCCTCCTGGCACCTGGTGACAGAGTGAAACTCTGTCTCAAAAAAAAAAAAAAAAAGAATCTGCTCCTTCAAGGACACCAACACTAAAGTGTAACTGCAACCTTTGGGGAAGGCCTTTTGTCACTCACCACCCACACACACTCCTTCACTTCCTTCTTTTTTCAATCCTAAGGAACTGCAAGGCAAGCAGAGTAGGGGGCAGAAAACCAAGGAAGGGACAAACCACCCACATCTTGCCCACTGCAGGCTGCCAAGGGTATAGCAGTCCAGGAGCTACTGGGGGAAGGAAAGAATGCTTTCCTCAAGGAGATGCTGAAGTTCTGTTAAGACTGGTCCATCGGGATTGCCTATGACAATGAATCTGCTCATCAATACGTAAAACTTACAGGAAAAAGTAGCTATCTGTCCACGGAATCACCCAGGGGCAGGGGAGGGAGAGCCAAGAGAACAGGTTAGGAAGACACAGATGGGAGAAAATAAAGCTGTTATGATTTTACCCTACAGACTTGGAGAGCTCCAGAAACAATGCATGAGAAAAGTGTAACCCACAGAGGGCAGCAGGGCATAAAACACATGATAGGGCAATGGCAAAAGCACCCTGTGAACAGTGAAGTGGGTGGCCTGCTGCTTTTGAGATGCAGATGATTAGCCATAGGAATGCTGAGGGGCAGGGATAGAGGGCTACATTTTACACAGAGGAAATGGAGCCTCGGAGAAGATGTAACTTCCCTAAAACACAAGTGAGTGGCCCAGCCAGGGCTCAAACCCATCATACAGCCACTTGGGCAGGAAGCAGTCTCAAATCGGGGTCCCCTTCCAACAGGCCGTTTGGGCTTCACTGGTTCTGAGACACTGTAATCAACCACCCACTGAGCGAGGCAGAGGCTGCTGTCAACTTCCCATAACCATTCTGTCCCTTTCCTTAGTAAAAAAACACGGCATTAGAAATTTCTAGAAGACAAAACCACAGTTTGAATTTATCCTCCTTGGTATTACTATGTGGAGGAAGAATGGATGGTTGCACCCCCAAGGACAATCGTGAACTATGAGGTAACCTTAAGGATCAAAGTGATCTGCAGAACTAAAACAGACTGATGTCCATCCAGGTGTGGTGGCTGACGCCTGTAATCCCAGCACTCTGGGAGGCCAAGGTGGGTGGATCACCTAAAATCAGGAGTTCGAGACCAGCCTGGCCAACATGGTGAAACTCCATCTCTACTAAAAATACAAAAATTAGCCAGGCACGGTGGCACGTGCCTGTAATCCCAGCTACTCGGGAGGCTGAGGCAGGAGAATCACTTGAACCCAGGAGAGGGAGGTTTCAATAAACCGAGATCACGCCACTGCACTCCAGAGCCAGATGTGGTAGATCACACCTGTAATCCCAGCACTTTGGGAGACTGAAGTGGGGAGATCACTTGAGGTCAGTAGTTTGGAACCAATCTGACCAATGTGGTGAAACCCTGTCTCTATTAAAAATACAAAAATTAGCTAGGTATGGTGGCATGTGCTTATAGTCCCAGCTCCTCAGGAGGCTGAGCACGGGAATCGCTTGAACCTGGGAAGGGGAGGTTGCAGTGAGCCAAGACTGGGCCACTGCACTCCAGCCTGAGCAACAGAGTAAAAAACTGTGCCAAAAAAAAAAAAAAAGACTGACATCCCTAAAAGTGTGTTTTGCTTTTTTTAGTTGCTGTACCTGTGCTGGAATGTCTATCTCTAGCTTTCCTTGAGATGAGAAAAGAAATGAGAAAAGAAACCATTGTTCCAGATGCACTGTACATGCAGCCAATCTCTTAACTCGGAAGCCAGAATCCATTACGGAGAATTGAACTTGGTCCTCAGAGTCCTATGTGCTTCATTCTCAATCATCTGTCCATATTTCTGTAGGCTGAGGAAAGTTCCTGAAGGTGGTTGCCCAGTTGTAGAGTGCCCTTTCAGCTTCATGACTGTATTCCTCAGATGGGATTTGAACTTAGGAATGCTGGGGAGAACAGGATGCTCTAACAGAAATGGACTTCCAGACACAGCTTTGATCACTGGTAAATCAGAGAGGCTTTTTTTTTTTTCTAATCTCTTTGCCATTTCTTTTGCTCTTTCTTCCCACCCTCATTCCCCTGCCAAGGGGAGAAAAAAATTAGCCAGGCAAGAGTACATCCAATTCCATTTCTTAATTAGAAGCAAAACATTTGGAAAGCTGTGGCTCGATTGTTCGACAAACATTTGCAAGTTATCTCCAAGCACAGAGCCAACATGTTAAGGAAAGCAATGGGGGTCACAGAACATGTTCCAGGCTAATGGAGAGGGTGATCCAGATTTGCACATAGGTCTGTCAATCACGGCTGGAGGCTCCTAATCCCCACTCAGAGCTGGCCGCGCATAGAGAAAGGCTCATGTGAAACAACAAACCCAAGATCTCCCAAATGTCCACAGCTCAGCTACGAAATCTATCATCCCAAACTAACCCTCCAGGGCACCTAATGGGTTTTAGGGAGGCGTTCAAATAAACAATTATTTTCTGGTATCAGAGACTGGATTTCATACATCACAGCCTAGGTGCAAGCTTAACTGGAGAGAGAGAAAGAACAGAGTTCTTTTTCCAAAAGTAAAATTTACTTCTAATCCACTAATATTGAAGCAAATAGTTTCTTCCAGACTCTGTAACTCTGTGATCTGAGAAAGAAAGTAGCCCGCTTGATCATAATGATTCTCTGACTCCCAGGGTGCTTGTTATTAGATGTAGTAATGGTTGGTTATGGCAAATCCTAGGGCCTCTTTCCCTAGAAAGTGTTAAATAAGAATACATGTGTCTTCACCCATTTGTGTTGATATGAAGGAATACCTGAGGCTGGGTAACTTATAAAGAAAAGAGATTTATTTGGCCCATGGTTCTGAAGCCTGTACAAGAAGCATGGTGCCAACATGTGCTTCTGATGAGAGCCTCAGGAAGCTTCCACTCACGGGGGAAGGCAAAGGGGAGCTGGCGTGTGCAGAGGTCAACAGCAAGAGAGGAAGCATGAGATGGAGGGAGAGAGAAAGAGAGAGGAAGAGGAGGTGTAGGGTCTTCCAACAACCAACTCTTGCTGGAACTAAGAGTGAGAACTTGCTCCCAGGAGAATGGCACCTGAGGGATCTACCCTTCCGCCAGGCCCCGGCTCCAACAGTGAAATCTGGGGATCACATTTCAGCATGAGATTTGGCAGAAGCAAACAACCCACATCCAAACCAGAGCAGGTTCACCCATGGGAAGCGCTCAATGGATGATGGCTACGACAGCATCACTAACTCACAAGATGAACCAAGCATTTCACTTTACCCAGCTGTAGGTGTGAAAAATGTATTCCTCAGACTGTGTTAGCATCTATTTCCCCACACCTTTCACTCTTGGGTCCTGTTTCCAGCCTGGGAGTGAACATAGGATAAACCCAAACTCTTGTTCCCGTGGTGGCCTGTATTATTCCATTCTCATGCTGCTAATAAAGGCATATCCAAGGCATATCCATTTAGAAAAGAGGTTTAATTGACTCAAAGTTTCACATGGCTGGGGAGGCCTCAGGAAACTTACAGTCATGGCAGAAGGTGGAACAAACGCGGCCTTCTTCCTATGTAGCAGGAGAGAGACATGCTGAGCAAAGAGGGAAAAGCCCCTTATAAAATCATCAGATCTCATTAGAACTCACACACTATCATGAGAACAGCAGCATGGGGGCAATCATCCCCATGATTCAATCATTTCTCACTGAGTCCCTCCCATGACATGTGAGCATTATGGGAACTACAATTCAAGATGAGATTTGGGTGGGGACACAGCCAAGCCATATCAGTGGTCCTTCCAAGACATAAAGCAGTTTATTATCACCGGTGTCTTCTTTTGTCCAGCCTGAAAGTTCGAATCATCTTGACCTGAAAGGTCAAGCCACTGCTCTCATGGCTTAGTTTCCAGTCGGGCCTGCTAAGGTTCTTGTCTGAAGGCCCCAGGGAGTGGCACTCTCTTCTATCTTGCAGCTCCTTGGATGCCTGGAGAGGAATTTGGAGGGTGTACTCCTCCAGGTGTGGAGAAGCACCTACAGATGAAGTAGCTTGTTCCAAGAGGAATGATTTCACAAGGATGGCTTAGACGCCCAGGCTATCTTGCGCCTTGCAGGGAGGAGGGAGCAGCGACTATTTCTTCAATCAATATATGACTGAAAGATTAAGCCTATTGATTTAAAAGCCACATTCTTTTTCCCACTTCTGAATATACTTTTATCATTTCTTTGGAGGATCTAATTTCTGGATTTTACTTAGGTCCCTGTTTCTACGCATTTCACCTTGTTTGAGCTAATAGGAATTCTAGTCTGAGATCCTTTGATTTAGTGATTCAGTCATCCCAGAAATTACCTGTCCCTCCCAGGCTCATGTCAACTGTAGATTCTCATGTCTCTCTAAGTATACTCATCTAAGCAATTAATTAGATTATATTTGGCTTATAATCATATTACAAGTTTTTAAAATGTCATTAGTAGAATGACCCACCCTTTTTATTTGTAAAGTGTGAACAGAAAGTTACTACATTTTACATGACTTTAGGACATTTACAGAGTTATCTTCACCTTGAGAAGAAACCGGATAAAAATAAATATTTGCCATGTTATAAAGTGTTTTTTTTTTAAAGTAGGTAAAATATCCCCTGCTAGTCTTTCCTGGATGGAGGGTGTCATAAATTGAATTGTTTCTCCCAAATTAATATGTGGATGTCTCAACTCCCAATAACTTAGAATGTGAGCATATTTGGAAACTGAGTGGTTTGCAGGTATAATTAGTTAAGTTAGAATGATATCATCATGGGGTAGGGTGGCCCCAATCCAATATTACCAGTGTCCTTATAAGAAGGGGGAAATTTGAGCACAGACTTAAAATGATCTTTGACTATGTTCCCCTCTGGGTCTTGACGCTGTTTCCCAAACAACTGAATTCTGTCGTGCTCCAGGGCCACTTGGAACCCTGCTTTAAGTTCCTGGCATGACTCGTGCCCCAGGGCCGCTTGGAACCCTGCTTTAAGATCCTGGCATGACTCATCCTCATGCATACATTTCTTTTTTTTTTTTTTTTTTGCAGGGGAGGGGAGGAAGGGATGAAGGCAGGAAGGGAGAGAAGGAGGAAGGGAGGAAGGCAGGAAGGGAGGGAAGGAGGAAGGGAGGGAGGAAGGAAGGGAGGAAGGGGTTAGGGAGGGAGAGAAGGGAAGGGAGGAAATCAAGCAATGAGAGAGACATTGCCAACCTGGATCTAGAGGTTTACAAGCTGATTTCTTTTTTTTTTGAGAGAAGGAAAGAAAAAAAAATGAGTAAAGGAGAGGAAGAAAGAGGAAGAGAAAGACGGAGGGTGAATGGAAATATTGCTTTATTCTGAAGAAAAAATGGGTATTAATAATGGCCAATCAATGTTTCATTTAAACCTATGAGTAGGTGTGATGTGGTATTGACAAGAATGTATATTTTGTGTATTTGAAGTGGAGAGCTCTATAAATATTTATTAAGTTTACTTGCTCCGGATCTGAGTTCGAGTCCTTGATATCCTTATTAATTTTCTGTCTCATTGTGTCTAAGTCTCTATGTATCTGGGTGATAGGATTGTTAGCTCTTGTTGCATTGATCCTTTTACCACTATATCTTTGTTGCTTTAAAATCTATTTTATCCGATACAAGAATTGCAACTCCTGCTTTTTATTTATTTATTTATTTATTTTTGCTCTCTATTTGGTTGGTAAATCTTTCTCCATTCCTTTGTTTTGAGTCTTTGTGTATCCTTGCCTGTGAAACAGGTCTGGATGTAACATGCCGTTGGGTTTTGGCTGTGTCTTTTGATTGGGGGATTTAGTCGATTTAAATTAGGGTTACTGCCATTTGATGTTAACTGGCTGTTTTATCCATGATGTAAATTCTTATGTTGGTTCTCTTTACTTTTTGATATATTTTTAGAAAGGCTAATACTGGTTGTTTCTTTCTGTGTGTAATGCTTCTTTCAGAAGCCCTTGTAAAGCAGGCCTGGTGGTAATAAAATCTCTGAGTACTTGCTTGTTCATAAAAGATTTTATTTTTCCTTCAGTTGTGAAGTTTAGTTTGGCTGGATATGAAATTCTGGGCTGAAGGTTCTGTTCTTTGAGGATGTTGAATATTGGCCCCCACTCTCTTCTGGCTTGTAGAGTTTCTGCTGAGAGATCTGCTGTAAGTCTGATAGGCTTGCCTTTGTGGGTAACCTGACCTTTCTCTCTGGCTGCCCTTAGTATTTCCTCCTTCGTTTTAACCCTGGTGAATCTAATGATTATGTGCCTTGGGGTTGCCCCCTCGGTTTCCCTCATGCATACATTTCTAACTGTCTTAAGCAAAGTGAAACAAGAGCATCTTTAAGGCCTTGACAATCCCTCCCTAATTTTCCTCGTGCCTCTCCTCTCTGCTTTGCTGAGCCTTTGTGGCTCAGGGCCCCCTCTCTTTCCCGCCACCATGGACCTACTACATGGCAGATCCCACACTGGGACTGTGGAGCTCAGCAAGACTTTGCCCCCAAAGAGCCCATGCTCTTGTCAGGGAAAGATCATTACGGAACAGGGTTGGGGGTGCAGTGTAGGGGGAGCCAGAGTGCAGGGGACACAAGGAGAGGTGAATGATGGACACCAGGCAGGCATGGGGTGGGGCGAGAGATGCTCCCCCAGGAAAAGATGGCCGCAGAGCTGGGTGCTGAAGGACGAGCAGAAGCTGCACAGGTGAAAAGAAAGGGACAGAGGAGGAAAGGAAGGAGGGACGTGCCGGTGGGGATGTGGCTGCCTCCAGGCAAGTCAGAGCACACAGTCCCCCCTGAGCAGTTCCTGGGTTACTAGGGTAACAGCAGGTGAATGGCAAGACAGCAGGGTCTTGCACAAGAGAAGGAAGACATGACTTTAGGGCATTTACAAAGACTTATCTTCATCTCGAAAAGAAACTGAATAAAAATAAATGCCTGCCATATTGTAAGTTTTTTTTTTTTTTAAGCAGGTAAAATATTCTCTGCCTATTCTTCCCTGGATGGTGTTAGATTGAATTGTCTCTCCCCCAAATTAGTATGGGGATATACCAACTCCCAATAACTCAGAATGTGAGCTGATTTAGAAACTGGGTGGTTTGCAGGTATAATTAGTTACCTTAGAGTGAGACCATCATGGGGTAGAATGGGCCCCTAACCCAATATTACCAATGTCCTTAGAAAAAGGGGAAATCTGGGCCAGGCGTGGTAGCTCATGCCTGTAATCCCAGCACTTTGGGAGGCCGAGGCGGGTGGATCATGAGGTCAAGGGATCGAGACCATCCTGGTCAACATGGTGAAGTCCCGTCTCTACTAAAAATACAAAAAGTTAGCTGGGCACGGTGGTGCGTGCCTGTAGTCCTGGCTGCTCGGGAGGCTGAGGCAGGAGAATTGCCTGAACCCAGGAGGCGGAGGTTGCGGTGAGCCAAGATCGCGCCATTGCACTCCAGCCTGAGTAACAAGAGTGAAACTCCGTCTCAAAAAAAAAAAGAAAAAAATACAAAAAAACTTAGCTGGGCATGGTGGCGCATGCCTATAGTCCCAGCTACTCAGAAGGCTGAGGCACAAGAATCAGTTGAACTCAGGAGGTGGAGGTTGCAGGGAACTGAGATGGCGCCATTACACTCCAGCCTGGGTGACGGAGTGAAACTCTGTCTCAAAAAAGAAAAGTGGCAGGGAATGTGAACAGATTTTTTGTGGGAAAAAATCTGAAAAGGCTGCACACAGCACGGTGTTGGAGGTCAAAACAATATAATGTATAGGTATATCTTCGTTTTAAGGACAACTCAAAGGAATGAATTTAAAAGATCAAGTTCAACTCAAAAAGGACAGTCCTGGTGATGTTTGAGAAACTCAGTATCTACCTCAGACTGAGGCAAAAGGGACTGCAGGGCCAGGCCAGCTCATGAGGCAAGGATCACAGGGCCATGGGATATGACTACACTCTGGAATTCTCCATCCAAAGTAGTGGAATTCCCACTCCACTGACAGGGCCTGCACAGGCCTCTTCCCTGGGTCCATTCCCCTGAAGGGGACCAAGCCTTTGGTGTAAACTGAGGGTCCCAGCAGGTCCATGTTCTGGCAAGCAGGTCCCCTCATGTGCAAATTGCAGCTGGAGACCAGGAAAGAATGGGACTGGCTGGGGCTGTTTCTCCCTGGGCCGTACATCCAGCAAAACTTCAGGGAGGCTGTGAATTTGAACCTGGTTTCCCAGGTCCCTATGAAGATGTCTTTGTCAGAGTGGGAGACCATATGAAAAAGAAGACTCATATATGTACTGCATATTATATACACACACGCTATACATCTACTATACACATACTATCTACATACACACACTACACACATACAGTACATACATTCTCTTTTTATATCTATATGGATCGATATAGAGACATACCTATATCTACATATAGATATGTAAATGCAATCTGTTAATTTGATTAACAGATTAATTTCAAATTAAAGTCTTTTTGACATCTGACATGCAAGACTCCATTTGTCCTTTTGTGCCCAGCTCTGCAAATTTTGGGGGGGGGGGGCCACTCTTAGCTTCGTGTGGCCGGTGCACAACAACAGAAAGAAATAGGTGTGAATTCTCACAGTTACTTTTCTCCTGGGAACTCTCACCAGGGTGAGAAGTGACTGAGGTTGAAACAGAAAATAGGGACAGGAAGCAGAGGAAATAAGGAGGAAACACTTCCAACACTAAACCTTTTTTTTTTTTTTTTGGCTCTGTTGCCCAGGCTGGAATGCAGTGATGTGAACACAGCTCACTGCAGCTCAACCTCCTGGGCTCAACTGATCCTCCCACCTCAGCCTCCCAAGTAGCTGGGACCACAGGCATGCACCATCCCCAGCTAATTTTGTTATTTTCTGTAGAGGCAAGGTCTGTTACCCTGTCTGGTCTCAAACTCCTGAGCTCAAGCAGTCTTCTTACCCTCAGCCTCCCGAAGTGCTGGGATTACGGGCATGACCCAAGGTGCCTGGTCCTAAACTTTCAAAGGCCTGAAACCCATACAAAGGAAAAGCTGGGAGAGGGTAGGAAGAGGTGAGCCCAAAAGCATCAACTAAGCGCCTGCCCCAATTCGAAATGGAAGAAAAATCAACAAATACCATGAAAACTCTCTTGGTGGAAGAAAACTACTTTCATTGTGATCAGAGATAAAGAGAAGTCCTAGGTCACCCAACTTTGACCTTGAGGCATGAGTCTGCTCATTCCCATCTCTTTCACCCAGACTGCCTGGAGCCAAATTTTAGGTTATATATCCAAGTAGCAGGCTCTGGAGTAAACCGTCTCGGTAGCCTGTCTCTTCCATCTCCTTCAGTAGCCTTTCCAGTCATTGGTTCTGTGCATCGAGCTCTCCAAACTCATCTGGCAACCGCAGCCAGGCACAAACCTGCAGTCTTTAAAGTGGCACACGTACACAGACTGAGAAATGTTCCCACGCTGCATATGTTCGTAAAGCAGCCCCATCCAAGCCATCCATCCTCCCACCTCCATCTGAGCCACAAAGTACTTTCATGAGCTCCATTTCAGTTCTGAGATCAGCAACACTTTATATCATCACTCAGAGTCATTGGGTGTAGA